GTTCAGCACATATACATGGTATTAATTTTTGGTCAGAAGAATTTCGTATTAATGTTCCTGTAAGTTTAGCAGGACTTTTTTTTTTCGTTTAGATTTTATAAAACTAATCATCTACATCGCATCATAGTCGTGACCAAAACAAAAAAAGAAAAGCTTTTCATAACAATCTTCTCTAATGAGACTAGAAAAAGAATTCGAGTTGTATTCTTTGTTCAAAATAGTCTCGTTTTACCATTTGAAATTTAAAGATACAACAATCTTCGACAAAGAAAAATGCTGTCTATTGATCATGACTAGCGCTTGTTACGACCAATTCACAACATTTTTCTCTATCGAAGATTGTTCTATCCTCACGTCTCAAAATGATATTTTGAAGAGAAGATAATTATGAATAAAAGATTCAACTTAAATTATTCTTCTGGTCTCATTAGGAATGGCCATTGCAAAAACACGTTACTTTCTTTGTTTTTAGTCACGATTGTGACTATAATACAGATCTGTATATAAAACATAACAAAGAACTTTCTCTTTATTTTTCTAATAGTTCAAATAGACATGTCTGATTTTTTTTTTGAAGTTTAAATTTTTCATAAATAAAATCTTTTTTTCTAATTAGATTGATGTTAGTATACCACCTGAAGTTATTGATAGTTTTGCAGAATATTTATCATCATTCGATGATAAAATTAAATATGACGTTGTTATGAAAGATATCGGTGCAGTTATTGATAAACAAAAATTATTACATAAATTACGTCCATCAATTGTTAATGATGATGATTTTGCTTATGATAAATATCATACAATTGATGATATTCATGCATGGATTGATAAAATGGTTCAAACATATCCAACATTAGCATCAACATTTACTGTTGGTCAATCATATGAAAAACGTAATATGAAAGGTTTAAAAATATCATCGAGTAAACTTGCAACTAAACTTGATGGTACATCAGTTAATAAAAAAAAAGCTGTATGGTGGGATGGAGGTAATTTTTATTAATTATTTAGTTTTTCTATTAGATGTAATTTCTTTTTATTTTTTTCTTTGCAATATTTATCTTTAAGGTATACATGCTCGAGAATGGATTAGTCCAGCAACAGTTATTTATATTGCTCATACACTTTTATCAAATTATAGTACAGATCCAACAATTACACATATTGTTGATCAATTTGATTATTATATTTTACCTGTATTTAATGTTGATGGTTATGCATATACATGGACAAAAGGTAGAAAACGAAATTCAAAACGAGTATTTAAATGAAATCTTAGTTTTTTTTTTTTCTTTCTTCTCTAGATCGTTTATGGCGTAAGACTCGAAGTAAAACAATTATACCTCTTTGTTATGGTGCTGATCCAAATCGTAATTGGGATTATGAATGGTGTAAAGGTATAATTATTTATCCTCATTTAAAAAATTAGCAGAAATTTACTTTTATTTTCTTATTCATAGGTGGTGCATCACATGATCCTTGTTCGGATACATATTGTGGTAGTAAACCATTTTCTGAAATTGAAACAAAACAAGTTTCAGGTTTTATTGGTGCTAATAATGATAGTATTGTACATTATATTAATTTTCATTCATATTCACAATTATGGATGACACCATGGGGTAAATATTAAAAACAAAAAAATTTAAATAATAAAAATTCAATTTTCTTTTATAGGTTATACAACTAAAAGACCAGATCAATTCACATTACAAGATGATGGTTCGGTTCAAGCTGTAGATGCACTTGGAGCTGTTTTTGGTTTGTTTACAATACAAAATTTTTTTGTTTATTTCTTTTTTTCAATATTCTAGGTACTAAATATGATCATGGTAATATTGGTGCAACTATATATATTGCTTCTGGTAATACAGTCGATTGGACATTTGGTACAGCTAATGTAACGTTTAGTTACGCTGTTGAACTTCGAGATACTGGTAAATGAACCTTTTTTTTTTGGTTATGTTTTGAAAAAATTTTTGATTTCAATTTTTTGTCAATAGGTGAATATGGATTTCTATTACCAGAAGATCAAATTGTTCCATGTGGCCAAGAGACATTAGCGGGTGTATTGGCTTTATTGAAATACATTGAAGAACATGTTTATACATAATATGAAAGAGGAAATATTGATAAAATAAAAAACGAACTAATTTTTCAATGTTTGTTTTTTTTTTATTCACTTTGATAGTTAGTATTATGTGAATTTGTTTCCTTCCTATTGAAAAGCTTATTATTGTTTTGTCTTTCTTAACAATTGTGATCGATAAATTTAAATAAAAAAAAACCATATCATGATTTTTCCTAATGAATATACTTGAATTTTTTTTATAATAACTGTGATTATATTATAATAATTAATTCAAAAATTGCATTGTCATGTCAATTGATAATCGAGTTATTTTTATCAGAATTCATATTTTACATATGAGATATTTACTTTAGTTATGTGATCTTTTACTTAATCAAAAAAAGAGGATTAATATATTATTCGTTTAAAAATTTTTATTATCCGAACGTATGCAATTAGTTCAACATATTAATACATAAAAATTAATCTATATATAATCGATCATATTTGCACGTTATCATTTAATAATAATAACAAAACTACGAATAACATTTATGTTTATTCTTATGACTTCAATTTTAATTCATTTTTCTTTTACTAACAAGAAAATACAAGTACAAAATAATCCTATTAGTGCATTATAATATCATATTACTTTTAAAATAGAAACAAACATCTGTTTTCAATATGTCTATTGTTATACCTTTCACCATCATCTATTCCGTGTATCCTAACAATCAAAATGATTACTGTAGAAAACGATGTTTTACTAAACTATGGTAATGCGTGCAAGTAATTCTTTGTGCTTACAAATCGTTAAAAATTGATGTATAAAAAAAAAGAAGTCTTTTGAGATAAATTTAATGCTTTTATGTAGATATTTATATATATGACGTTGTCAAGTAAATACTTGAACTTGAAAATAGGATCTTTTCTTTTTCTTCTCTTCATTCTTATCATTAACATATGTGCCCTTGTAATAGGAGTTTTTATTATTATTATACTAAATATATTTCTTCTCTTTTTTATCTTCTTTTTCTTCTTATCATCATTATTATATTTTGTTACCAAGATGACGTCTAATACAACATCAATGGTACAACAATTTTTTACTGATGAAAATTTTCTACGTTTAAAATATATTAATGAACATGGAAATACAGATCAACAACTATTACAAAAACAATCAAAAGATCGACTTTCATCTCGTTTTCCACCAATAACACGTAATATTGTAGCAGCATTACCAATGACAAATAATACCGTGGAGTCACCAAGATCATCACTTCTATTCACTCCATTGGTTCGTGAAGCAGCTAAACGTTTTATGGTACGACAACATTCATCATTGTCTGCAGAACCTTCATCAACAAGTATGCCACCTTATGTTCGTCCTAAACGAATGTCACATTATGATCATATTCAACCAAAAATTGATACTGGTTTACCACGTAAAGAAAGTATAACTCGAAAAGATGTATGTA